GCTCACCTGCCTCTGGTACCCTGCCAGGATGTTGTTGTAGCGGAGCTTGGTCTCAGCCAGAGATCCTTCCAGAACATTTTTCTGTGGAATGAAGTAAAGGGGCAGGAGTCGTCAGAAGTGTTCAGACTCAGCAGGGATGACATCAGCAGATGACGTCACCAAGGAAACAGGTACATTGTGCTTACCTTGCTGAGCTCACTCTGCAGTTGGATCTCCAGATTCTGTAGAGTCCTTGTGAGCTCGGTGATCTCAGACCTTGATGTTTCCAGGGTCTCGGTTTTGGCCGCCATGTCTTTGTTCAGCTCAGCTATCTGTGAAATGTGAAGCACAAATCAGTCTTAGTATTAACAACTGGGGCGAATGTTCACAGAAGTCATACAGATAATACTTTGTTTTATTGACTCAGTCCTCATCATCAACTCTGAACAAGATGAAATAGTCATCCATTTATTGAAAAGCTTTTGGAGTAAATTACACCAGAAAACCAATAAAAATAATGAGAGAAAAATGTAGCTAATAATAAGTAGAGTTACAAAAATAAATTATAATTAAAACAAAATTGTATTCTTATTATATTTTTTCATAATAATCATTAAGAAAAGTAAAGGATCATCTGGTTTTAAAAACTATAGTTTCTATGTGGGCATGTGTCTTCTCACCTTGGCCTGGAACCAGGTGTCCAAGTCTTTGCGGTTCTTGGCAGCCACATTCTCATAATGTTCTCTGATAGAGGCCATGACGGCTGACAGGTCCTCCTGAGGTGCAGCGTCCACCTCCACGTTCACCTGTCCTCCCACTCTGGCGCGCAGAGCCAGGAGATCCTGCAGAGAATTAAAAAAAGAAAGATTTAAACCATTATGTTCCTCATAAGAATGAAACTCATCTTCACTTTTAGGAGTTGGAATGCTGGTATTCTCAGTCAAAAAGACAGTAATTCATCCTGATGGTGGAGCGACTGTGTGATTTAAGGTGATTCTACACCAGGCTTAGAAACCAGTGAGGAATTAAGGTCAGACATCCTTAAACTCTGTGAACTACTCCTTTACATTCTTCAGCCTTTTCTCTTCTTTGGTGCTATTAAATCTAAGGTTAGCCTGCTATTTGTTTAGCCAAACATACAGTGTAAAACATGGCTAATGGTTGGCTACCTGACAGGTTCATATAAAACTATGGGTCAAAAGTTACCCCAGTGATTGGTTCCTGCTCTGGTGCCTCACCTCTTCATGGTTCCTCTTCAGCAGCAGCACCTCCTCCCTCAGGCCCTCCAGCCTCATTTCCAAGTCGCTGCGAGCGATCAGCAAATCGTCCAGAACCTTCCTGAGGTTGGAGATGTCAGCCTCCACAGATTGTCTCATGGCCAGCTCGTTCTCATACCTGGGGAAAAACAAACCAATGTTGGTTTCTGGTTCAAATCCCAAAGGTTTAAAGCTTCATGTTACCACCCTTCCTTACTTGACTCTGAAGTCATCGATGGCCAGCTGGGAGTTGTCGATGGAGAGGACGATAGCAGCATTTTGACGAGCAGCGTCACAGATCTAGAGGTTGAGAAAGTGTTTTTCAGAGAACTGTCAGTAGCAGAAAAAAGTAAATAAGAAAAACAACGTAAAGTGTTTTTTTTTCTAATTTTTATCTATAAAAGTATCTGTTATTTCTTTTAATTTATTAAGTAAAATATGAAACCCAAAATGATGTGATTATTCTTCCGCTGCAGGTTTGTCAATGGAGAAAGAAGAAACAGAATTATTCTACTCTTGCCCCTGGTTCTCCTGCCCCCACCCCCCTATCCTGGTCCTGCTTACCTGGTCCTGCAGACTTTTGATCTGCACCCTGAAGCGAGTGTAGTCGTGCACCTCAGGCATGGTCCTTTTCTCAAGGAACTCACGGATCTTCAGCTCCAGGTCGGCATTGGCCTTCTCTAGGGAGCGGACCTTGGACAGATAGGTGGCCAGGCGGTCGTTCAGGTTCTGCATGGTGCCCTTCTCGTTGACTGTAAGGCCCTCAGCCATGCTCAGCTCAGCTCCAGCAGCAGCAGAGGAGCCAGTGGAGAAGGACTTGGAGATCCGTACTCCAGATCCTCCTGCTCCACCGTACACACTGCCAGATCCCAGGCCACCTCCGAGGCGGATGGAGGAGGAGGAGATGGACACGGGGCCTCTGCCGCCGGAGGTCCTGACGAAGCTGCTGCTGCGGTTGGAGAAGGTGTTCATGGCTGCTGATGTTCTCTTGGCTGGAGACTGCAGAGTGAGGAGCTTCCAGACTGAGTCGACTCTTATACACCGAGGAGCTGGGCGGTTTATCTCAGGTGAAACATGCCAAACATGCCACAGGGGTGGTGGCATGTTGCTGGATTGAGAGAGATATCAGGTCTAGTGGCTTCTGTTTCCTGCAGCAGTGCCTTCAGGCTGTGGCTCCTCCTGATGGACAGGTCCTCTGAGCCCTGAGGGTCATTCTCCATGTCACATTAGACCCCTGACACACACCCAGACGAGGGCCTCCTCCACTGCACCTGCTGGAGATGATGTCCAGATGGAGGTGAGTTTTCTTCACAAACTGTCGATTTCTGTCCCTGTCATTTCATTATAGTTTATAAACCATGGACTCCATAGAGCAGATCAGTGGCGTGCGGTCAGTGGGGGCTGGTGAGGCAGTGCCTCTCCTGTCATCATGACATGTAAAATGCTAACAATAAGAGAAAAAACACATTCACACTTGACTGTTCTATAGGCGTAGCGCGGCGACACCATGATACACACTGACTGCCTGAAGCTGGCAGTCCCATACCCATTGTGCCTACGGGGGTACGAGGTGCAAATCGCTGTCTTAATGGGTTTTAAAAAAATCTACAACTAAGTAAACCCGCAGAACAGGTTATTGTGTTGGGAGTGTTTCAAGTGAAATTAAATTCCAAGGAGAACAATTGGACCAGGTTTGGACAGGATTAAAAAAGGGCTGCGATGCCTAATCCTGGGGGTATGATCAGGAACTAATTTAATAAGCAGAAAAGGAGGCATAATTTGTCACCTTTAACAAATAGCAATAGAAAATTATTTATATTATTCCCATGCACTGTTCAATCATGGTCAGCTTTTATTTTGGGTTTATTTTTCTATGTACATAAATTTGTTTATATATACAATTATATATAGTATATATTTCTAAATATGCATGCGTGAGAAAAGTGCACTGTTTAATAAGTGGTGCAACGCCAGTAATGTTAACACTTCAGAGAGTCTACGTGAGCTTGTGTTGTTGGAGGAGTTTTCTCCCAGAAAAAGTCGCATCTCTCTGTGCAGCTGCTATACTCGCAGCTTTGACGCATAAGGACGTATTTTGTCCTCAGAGTCGGTGTGATTTAGTTCCTGAAAAAAATTCAAATCTCGTCAAAATACGTAGTGAGGAAACAAACAACTAACAAACCTAAGAGGACCCTGCTGTTTCCTCCAGCAAACAAAAGAAAACAAAATACAGGGTTTTTGACTTAAGCTCAAAGTCAAAAACAAGTTAGTTTTGTTGGTTGTTTGCTCTGCGTTGTTGCCTCACTTCCTCACAAATTAAAATGTTGCTTTAAAACTATAAACTCTTAGACTTGGCCACATTCTTGGGGATGAGAAGTGAGGGGGCGGGGGGGCTATAAATTGTGCTACATACCAGTAACATGCCTTCAGTGTTCAGCTTCAGTGTACTCATAAGATACCAACACACACGTACGTCACCTTTGCTTGTGTGCAGTAAAAACATTCTCTCATTTCTGTTTGTTTTTGGTACATACCAACTACTACAGAGTTCCCCGACTCAGAGCTAGTCATTCACGGGGCGTGGTTCAATGTTTACTAAAAAAGTACTGTAATCAGAATTTGTAACAAAATAGGTATATGTAAATAATGCCATTTTTACATAATATATAATTTCAAATTATTCAAAGATTGGATTTAATGTTAGTTACACTTGCAAGCTGGGGGTGGGGGGCAGTATGGAGGGGGCAGCTGATCACAGCTGTCAACAGGCACTCAAAACTCATGAACACCACAGAGAAAGATCCACGAAAGGGTGAACCAGTTTTTTTTTATTGCTGTAAAGGCATGAGTTCTAAGAACATTTTATTTCATCATCTACTAAAAACACTCAGACACATTGGTGTTGCTTCATCAGAGGTGCTTTATTTTTTATTCTCTTTGGACAATGTTCTAGCAAATGCTTGTTCACTGTCATTAGTTGGTGACCTCTTCGCCGTCTACGATCTCCTTGGTGATGATGACCACCCTGCGATTGGTGGTGGTGGAGGAGGAGCTGTGGGGGTGAAACACAGGGATTAATAATGGGTAAACGTCACCTTAAATCAGTGATTTTTTTTTTCAAAGATAAAACATTTTCTGCTCACCTTTCAGTCTCTCCCTCCAGCAGCCTCCTGTACTCGGCGATCTCCAGCTCCAGCCTGGTCTTGATGTCAAGCAGCATCTTGTACTCTTGTCCCGTGCGCTCCAGGTCTGCTCTCAGATGGGACAGCTGGTCCTCCAGAGCGCTCACCTGCCTCTGGTACCCTGCCAGCATGGTGGAATATCTGCTGTTGGTTTCGGCGAGGGTTCCTTCCAGAGATGCTTTCTGAAAAGGAAGACAGAGGTGACGATCAGATCTGCAGTTTCTGGGTTAAAACGATTTGAAACGAAGAACCTTTAGCAAACCCACCATGCTGAGCTGTGACTGCAGCTCGATCTCCAGACTCTGTAGCGTTCGTTTGACCTCTGTGATCTCCGAGCGCGATGTCTGCAGAGTCTCTGTGCTAATGGCGACCTCCTTGTTTAGTTCTTCACTCTGCAGGAGAAAACATTAAATGTTAAAAGTAATTTTACAAAAAAAAAAAAAAGGGGGTTTTCAAAATAAGAAGACTGAAGAACAAGCTGTGAGCTGCTGTCTCCTTACCTTGGCCTGGAACCAGTTCTCCAACTCTCTGCGGTTCTTGGTAGCCACGTTCTCGTAGTGTTCCCTGATGGAGGCCATGACGACTGACAGGTCCTGCTGAGGAGCAGCGTCCACCTCCACATTCACCTGACCTCCCATGCTGGAGCGCATAGCCAGGAGATCCTGCAGAAGAAGAACCGAGTCGGTGAATCACCAGTGGCTGCAGATGTTTGATTCTTTACTTCTTGGTGCCACACCCACCTCCTCGTGGTTCCTCTTCAGTGAGATCAGTTCCTCCCTGAGGGCCTCGATCTGCATCTCCAGGTCGGCTCTTCCCATTGTCAGGTCATCCAGGAGTCTTCTCAGCCCAGCAATGTCAGCCTCCACGCTCTGGCGCATGGCCAGCTCGTTCTCGTACCTGCAGCAGCAGAACAGCAGTTTGTGCCTAAGCTTTTTGCTGTATTTCTACACATTTTGCGTTGTTGTATTAGATTCAAACCAGTTTTACCCTGTTGTTAGTTCACATTTCTTTAGCCCTTTGGCTATCTGCTAACAGTTTTTCCTTATTTTGAGCTAAACAAACTTATTCCTCGGCAGCCGAGGGTCACATCATCAGGCTGTGATCCTGATGTTCTGGTCTGTTCAGCTCTACACCTGACTCCACCCTTGGGCTGTCATCGGTGTAAACTTACTTGACTTTGAAGTCGTCAGCAGCCAGTTTGGCGTTGTCCACAGCAAGGTACAGGCCTCCATTTACACGGGTGGCATCCAGGATCTGAGACAAGAGGGTCAAAGGTCAGTCGTGGGATAGGGAGTCACCTTAAGGTTGGAGGAAGGAGGTTTCTCTCACCTGGTTCTGCAGGTCACTGATGATAACGGAGAAGGCGGAGTAGTCGTGTCCCTCGGGTTTGGTCTTCTTGTCCAGGAACTGTCGGATCTTCAGTTCCAGCTCGCCATTTTCTGCCTCCAGCTTGCGGACCTTATCTATGTAGACAGCCAGACGGTCGTTCAGGTTCCTCATGGCCTGCTGCTTGTTGTCTGTGATATCCAGGGCGTCGGTCAAGTTGAAGCCTGCGGCGCCTCCTGCAGCTGCAGCACCTCCTGCGGCTGAGCTGTAGTTTCTGGAGGCATTGGAGCTGGAGATCCGAATCCCGGTTCCTCCGGCGCCACCATAGACACTGGGGGACCTGTTGAAGCCCATGCGGCTGGAGTATGAGACTGAGCGAGAAATTGACATGGTGGTCGAGGTGGAGAGGAGGTGCAGAGGAAGGAGGTCGTCACTGCTCTAGGTGGAGAGCTGAGAATGCAACAGAGTGGTTTCCTGCCTTTTTATGCTCCGTGAACGTGGAGGAGGGTTCTGAAATCCTACCCCTCTCCCACCTCCTCTCCTCCTCTAAACCCCCTCCCCCTCACCTGCCCTCAGACAAGGAGGCCACCAAACCAGCACAGCAGCAAAATGCAGTGCAGAGGAATGTTAAGGTCATGGTTACACAACGAGGAGGATTCGCTGCTATTTGTTCTTCTCTGGTTCTGTGCATGTTCTGCAGATGTTAAGGGTTCTGCAGAGTTACCGTTGATTGGTTTTGTACATGTTCTGCAGACAGTAACGTTCTGTACTTCAGAGGAACGCTAATGTCCTCGTCAGACACAAACCGCCCGCCTCCGATGCTTTGTGCGAAAGGTAATTCATAAACAATTCTTCATGAAATGAAGCTTTCCTGATGCTTACATATTCTAAAACATAAGAAAAGAAGAACTAAAAGTCAGAGTCAAGTCATCGTGGGAAAGCAAATGTGTCTGAACTCCAACTATGGTTGAAGAAGAAGGCCGAACCACCAGAGCAGACGTAACAAATAAAAATAAAATATTAAAACAGACCTCGGCCACCAGGAAACTTAGAGGAGAGAACACAGAACAAAGAAAGAGCAGAAACACAGACGTGGCAGGAGTCTGACTAAGACGAGGACGGGCTGACAGATTGGGCCATAAAATGTTCCCTCACTTCAGACGATGTCTTAGTTACTATCAGGAGCCAACGAAGCTGTAGATGCCGCGAGGGTTCTGTGGCCCTCATCTCAACCTACTGGGATTGTGCAACTGTAGTTGGTGGTTTATTCATGTGTTTCGAAAGATTGGTCGACTGATTGAACAACAGAAATGAATGTGAGACCAATGTTTGTACCAAAATAGGCCACATATCGTGTAAACAGAGCGCGAGATTCCACAGGTATTATCTCCAGCTGTCCCTGCTGTCAATGTCTTCAAGTGGGGTGAGAATGTGGCCACTCCCAGTAGAAGATGAAAAAGAAGAAGAGTGTGGCAAAACAGCTAAACCAGATATCTTGAATATTACTCCATGGATAAAACGTGGAAAAGAATCTAGAAAAGTGGCTGAGAAAACAGCTGAAGATGTCGCAGCTCCAGATATGCTAAAAGAACTAAATGTTAGCTCCACTTCAGACAATGGTGACATCCGAGTCTTCATTCATCGACAACAGTAGAGGACAAACCGTAAGGACCACTTTCATCATTTCACGAGTGAAGAAAACGGGATGTGACAGAGAATTACATTTGTTCATTCGCGGATTTTTAAATTCTTTGGTCAAGTCGAGTTTTTTCAAGTCAGGGTTGAATTCTTTCAGTCAGCCCCACCGACTCAAGAACCTGTGTGGACTTGCCGTTGGTGATGAAACTGAAAACCTGTCTCTTGGCTCCGCCCACTGGTATTTGCCCTACAGCAGCAGCAGAAACTGACAAACCAGTTTGTGTGTGCGCCTCCAGTAACATTTTACAGTTTTAAAAAGAGAATCTTACACTCTCCCCTTGAACTCATAACTTTTACACTTTCTCTGTTTAACCTCCTCAAATCTAAACAATAAAAAAAAAAATCCTCAGATTTCTTTTCACATTTTTTCCCTAAACTATTGATATAACATTTGAAGCATCGACAGAGAAGGAAGAGTTAAAATTAAATGAAATATGTTTTTTTTATCTTCTTTTTCTGAGCTTCATGTTTACTTTAAGTGTTAGTTTTAATGACTTTTATGTTAAAATGAAATGTTTTTACATGATCACGACATTTTCAGATCACAGTCTGCTATTCCTTAAACCCTTATGTCTAAATTGTGACTGTATTTTATGACCTTTATGATTATAAATTCCTCACATTAATCTTTTTACCTTAACCTTTTTTTTTTACTATAATCTTACAAACCTAACAGTTCAAACTTTTGGACTGCCTGCCTTTGACATTTGAATTGGTTCAAAAATATGAATTTAATTTATTTTATTACATAACTTTAAAGATTTACAGAAATTAAACTAGTTTGGCTATTTAATTTTTTATTTAATTTTTGTCACTTTCAGCTTTTTCAATTCACATACATCTTAGTCTGTGATCTTGCTCGATGCAACAGTAGCCCCTTGTGGCGGCTGTCAGAGAAACATCAGACTTTAAAATCAAATCCACAGTCACAGTCATTGGTTTTATGTATCTGCTCGCATTTATTGTTGCCTCTGATTTCAGTGCTGAGGCAGTGCTGGCGCCCCCTGCTGCTCCTGCTCACTTGTTGGTGACTGTCTCCTTGGTGCTGACCACCTGTCCGTCCACTATCTCCTCCACCACGGTGATGACTTTCTGCCTCATGGTTTTGGTAGAGGTGCTGTTGGATAAAGAGGGGGCGCCGGTGTTAAGTGAATGTCAAATACCAAAGTATATTTGCAGACGCTGATCTTCAATATTTGCGTATTTTTCTGTTTGGCTCATGTTTAGCTGTTTTACATGCTATGTGTTTTGTTACATAGAAACCAGGTTGGCCAGTTCTGGGCAACATAAAAGCCTTCTGTTTACACATAGGTAGGTTTGAACTACATTGTCTACAGTGTCAGCTACGTTTTAACATTTTTAACCAAAGCAAAGCTAATTCAGGGCTGGATTCACCTGTTGGAGACGGAACTTATGGTTAAATAATGGATAACAGTGAGTTAAACTTTTGTATTAACTATTTCTGGCCAAATCTTGGCTGGTGTTTTATTTTTTTGGGTTAAGCAAACTTTTGGCAATTTCATTTGGCTACCACTTTTTTTGGATAAAATCACATTTGGGGTAATATGTAAGTGTTTTGGGGTAACCATTACTGAGTGTTTTGACAGGTTTCTCTGAACTCAAACTTTTTTTTCTCTTTTCTGCACCTCGCTACTTACCTGCTACTGCCTCCTCCGGTTCCTCCTGCTCCTCCTGCTCCCCCTGCGCCTCCGGCTCCACCAGCCCCAAACGCCCCCTTGGACCCTCCTGCCCCTCCAACACCCTCTCCATCCAGCAGCCTCCTGTACTCGGCGATCTCCATCTCCAGCCGGGTCTTGATGTCCAGCAGAATCTGGTACTCCTGCGACTGTCGCTCCATGTCAGCGTTCAGCCCCATCAGCTGCTCCTCCGTAATGGTCACCTGTCGCTGGAACCCTGCCAGCTGCATGGAGTATCGGTTCTGTGTTTCTGCCAGGGTTCCCTCCAGGCCGGCCTTCTGCAGGGACACAGGGAGACAGAGGGAGCGCTTTAGTTTGTGTTGGCGCCTCCAAGAGGACAGAGGTGGAGTTGAGGAGGTTCTCACCATGCTCTGTTGCGACTGCAGCTCGATCTCTAGACTCTGCAGCAAACGTTTGAGGTCAGTGACCTCACTCTTGGATGACTGAATGGTCTCTGTGCTGGCAGCCACTTCTTTGCTTAGTGACTCTGTCTGTGGACGGAGAAGCAACGAGTTAGAGCTAAAGGTTAGCTTAGAGTGTGGCTAAAAGACTAGAAGTGGGTCAAGAATGAAAATGAAATCTCAGACAGTTCATAAACAAAGGTTTACAGTAGAGTTTAACAGTTAACTCTTGTCTAATCAACTATTGGTTTGTTTTGTAATTCAAACTCCATTTTCCATCTCATTGAGTCATTTGAATTCAATACCAGGTGTGTGCAGAACCTTTTCCTTCCACCAGAGGGCGCCACAGTCATCACAGCATTTGTCACTTGTAGGGCAGCTGCTGTAGGCCTTCCTTTTCTACTCTTAATATAACTGTAGATATTTCTGCTATTAAACTCACATCTGTATTTTTATGATAGTTTTTTTCAGCTCATATCAAATTATAATTTGGCCTTTTTTTGATTATTTTCAAGCTAACTCTGAGCTACGTCTTACTGTGCTAATCTTTATCTGTATTTCCTAGCCAAAGTTGATTCTAGCAGCCGAATGTTTTCCTTCTCACCTTGCTCTGGAACCAGGCCTCCAGGTCTTTGCGGTTCTTGGCGGCGACGTTCTCGTAGTAATCCCTGATCTCATCCAGGATCTTGCTCAGGTCCTCCTGAGGAGCTGCGTCCACCTCCACGTTCACCTGACCGCTCATCTGAGTACGGGACGCCAGCAGCTCCTACAATTCAACCAGAAGACACTGAGAACCTGCGGTACCGTTATAGAGATGCACCTGGTACTTTACCATCAATTGCAGACGGTACCATCAACACAAGACAGTAACAGGAACTAAGGATGGTACTTTGACCTGTACCTAGTACTGTAACAGTACCTATGAAGGAGGTTGGAAGGAACACTGATTTTTTAAAAAGATATTTAAAAAAAAACGGTAAGTACTGTAGGGACAGTTTGGCTCCACAGGCATCAGCAGAGGAGCGTACGTCCACACTGCTGAAGAAACCACTTTACATCATATGTAATCTTGGTGTTAAAAAGAGAACATTTTTACTGTCCACCCACCTCCTCGTGGTTCTTCTTCAGGAAGAGCAGCTCCTCCTTCAGGCCCTCGATCTGCATCTCCAGGTCGGACTTGGACAGAGTCATCTCGTCCAGGACCCGCCTCAGGCCCGCAATGTCGGCCTCCACCGACTGACGCATGGCCAGTTCGTTCTCGTACCTGCAACGGGAAAACAGCACTTGTTGACTTAGCTACTAACTCGACCCAGGGTTCCATCTCTGCACCTTTTGGCAAACGCTAGTGATCTGTACCACGGTGGTGGTAGTGTTTCATTTTAGTTTGGTTAATAGTCGAGAGGTTCGACGTGTAAAGTCACTCACTTAAGCCTGAAGTCGTCAGCGGCCAGTTTGGCGTTATCGATGGACAGGTAAATGGTGGCGTTGACTCTGGTCGCCTCCTGGATCTGAAACAAGTGGCAAAGAAAAGATAAGTGTTCAGTGTTGACCTCCTCACAGCTGACCTTTGACCAGGTTCAGCTCACACTGTTACCTTTTTTAATTTTCCAGATATAATTCTTGTTGGACTCTTCTTAGCAGTAATTATTCTGGCTAATTAACACAAATCTACTCTTGTTGCTAACATTTTTTGTTTTTTCTCTGCATTCTAGATTATCACTGTTTCTCTGATTGGCTGACACGTGACAGACAACAGTAACAAGGACATCATATCAGTTACAGATGCCTGGCTGGACATTTTACTTTTTTTTTTCAGTTTTGCAGAAGTTCATGATGACATTAAAGTCTCATTTTTCAGTCGTATGACAAAACAGTTGGAGGTCTACCTTTCCCTGCAGTTCTGCTATGGTGGCATAGTAGGCGCTGTAGTCCCGGGAGGACGGTGAGGTCTTCTTCTCCAGGAACTCCCGGATCTTCAGCTCCAGCTCAGCATTGGCCGCCTCCAGTTTACGGACCTTCTCCAAGTAGATGGCAAGGCGGTCGTTCAGATTTTGCATGGCGCCCTTCTCGTTGGTGGAGATGTCCAAGCTTTCAACGCCGCAATACGCGCCGCCTGCTCCACCTCCTGCTCCACCACCAAAGCTGAAGCCATAGCCTCCACCTCCACTTCCACCACCACCACCACCACCGCTGCTGAACATGGACATGGAGGAGCTGCCAGTGGAGACCCGAACATTACCCGTACCACCATACATGGACCTACTGCTGCCCATGTAGGCACCACCACCTCCGCCACTGCTGGACCTGTAATTGAACATGGCTCTGTCTGCTGACGAGAAGGATGAACGTCTGTCCGCTTCGGTGGCAGTGGAGAAATTAGCTGGGTGTCTGATTTTTTTATACCATTAGATGTTTGGAAGGAGGAGGAGGAGAGGGTGGAGGAAGAGGAGGGTGAGCCGGTGCCAAGCCTGGGAGGAGACCTGTCCTACCGTAACCTCTCAGGGTGTGACTGAGAAACGTGGAATCTACCCAAAAGCTGTCAATCAGAGGGATCTTCGAACCTCTGAGGAGAAGATGGCGTTAATTCACCCCCACCTGCAGCTCCTGTCCTCCACCTCTCCTTCAGTTGTTTCTCCATCACTTGAGGAGCGCAGGAGAAAGTTTCCCGTCGGTCAAAAAGACAGCTAATGCTAATCCAAGAGCTAACCTAAGAGCTAAGGCAAATGAACACAGTTCGCATGGAGGAGGTGGATCAGATCTAAGAGTTAGTTTAAGAGGAGGAAGCAGAAAAGTTCTGGATTATGTTCCTCTTTTTGTTCCCTGTTTTGATCTGGTACTTTTCTGATACGTTTCTTTTTTCTTTCAAAACCCGAAAAAAGGACAGCATCAGCATGAGCAGTAACATCATCATCATCATCAGCAGCAGCAGCAGCAGGTACACAGACAGGTTTGAACCACTCCCTTTTCAGAGTAAATCATTAAATGACTTCTGCTCTGAGTCTGTAAATAAGTTGGATCAGTGTCACACCAGCACAACAAAGGCTCTGCTGTCGTCATCGAGCTTTAACTGTGGGAAAGTCCTGCTCACACTCGTCTGCTCTCTGATCTCCGTCCAGGGAACTGTCACGCCGCTGTGGCTGCTGTGGCTGCTGCTGCAGCTGCACCTGCCCCTCAGCTCAGGCTGAAAACCATTATCATCTTAGCGTACACACACACTGCAGTCACACACACACAGACCTCACCTAAGATACAAATGTCATATACTAATTATATGCTGAATTAAAAATAAGTGGTTCCATGGTGTAGCGGTTATCACGCCTGCTTACACATCGATGGTAGTGGGTTTGAGTTGCAAAGTAATCACACACTTCCTGTTACGAATCCTTCTGCAGCCGATCTGCTGCACGAACACGACAGTTTCACCAGTGTGGGATCAACAAAAGTTCTCCTTAAACTGAGCTCAGAAACAACTAAACCTAGCCCAACTGTAAGCACAGCTAAACTCGACTTAACCGCGAGCTAAAGTAAACCGAACAAAAGTGTAACCCAACTATACAACGTCAACCAAACTGAACTACAAACTCAACCGAATTAGAACGAACCAAAGACTGAAGGCTAACTTTAGGCTGAACTAATCAAAACTAAACAAACGAATCTTTTCCCTCAACTTTAAGCTTAACTAAATTGCACTGATATGCAGAGGTAAATTTAACTAAACTGTGCCCAGTTATAGGTAAAGCTAAACTGACTCTAACTCAGCTCAGCTGAGTTGAATTAAGCTAAACTTTATGTGAAACTAAACTATCTGTTAACCTACACTAAATTAAACTAAGGTTAACTAAACTTTACATTTATCTAAGCCAAACTAAACTAAAGTGTAAGCTTAACTTAACTATCGATTAAGCCAGGCTGAGTTGTGCTGAACTAAACTAAGTTAAACTAACCTTAACCAGGGCTCAGATCATGAGATTAACTCGGTCGGTAATTATCAGATGATGACAGATTTTCTGACGGTCAATCATTTTAATTAGACTGTTTTTAAAAAAACAGCTGTGATTTATGTACAGACACACACACACACCCTTTACCTGAATGTAAAACCTCTGCCTGCAGCTGTTCTTACATAACTGCGACCTTTGAGCCCCTCCCTCGCCTGATCATGGCAGGGTGGGGCTTCCCTCATCAGCATGTGAGGACAGGTGTGTCTCTGAGTTGGGGGGTGGGGAGGTGGGGTCAGCAGAGGGGGGGTAGAGACAGGAACAGCAGCAGCTTCTCCAAAACTCAATAGGAAAAAAATCACAGAAATGTAGAAAAGTAGAACTTTCTGTAAGAAGAGACACGAAGGACAGGTGAGGGACACTGGGTAAATCACAGAAATGTAGAAAATTAGAACTTGAAGGACAGGTGAGGGACACTGGGTAAATCTGAGACAGACGGGGCCTGATGGGACGTGGAGGGACAGTAGTGGCAGGCAATCACAAAGTGTGTACTCAGTGCAAAACAGAAAGACTTTAATCACATTCCATGGTCCAAGTGTTGTTGGTCAAGGTGCTGGTGAGCACCCAGTCCACCAGGTCCAGTCCACCTGGTCCAGCTCCTGAGAAGAATAGTAGGACTGGGTGCTGCTGGTCCAGCTCCTGAGAAGAATAGTAGATTAATAGAATAGAAGAAGAACCAATTTGTTGATTTTGAAGGAATGTTTGGATTCTTTGTTTGACGGTTTGTGAACTTGGACATGGACTAACGTTAAGTTAATTTTTTTTTTTTTTGCCAATTTCCTTGTTGCTCTGCCACCCTTCGTTTCTGGCTCAGGTCCCTGTCTTGTCACTAATGAATTAATAATTTATCTGTGTCCCATCAAACTTCAATACCTCGACTCCTCCTCAGGGTGCATCTCCTCACCACCGCCTTAATTCTTTCTCTATTTCACCTGAGGCTGTTTTTCTGGTGCTTGTAAAAATTTTCCTTTTCTTTGTCTTTTGCTTTCTGTTCCCCTCCACCTCCTCTTCACTCCACCTTCAAATGCTTGTCATTTTTCATCAGCTTTGTCCAGACCTGTTGGTGTCGCTCAAAATGTCCAACGTGTTCTTCATAAACCTCTGAGTTAATCCTTTAAATTCTCCTATACTTTTTTTTTGTTAAAACCACAGGGTCTACAGTAATGTTCCAGTCAGGCTCCTGTAACTCCAACAACACATGTGATTTTAAATGTGTTATGTCATACAGACCACAGTGATGGAGGATTAGAAACCTGGATTAGAGATTAGGATTATAGTATCAGATAAAAAGGGAAACAAAATGCATCTTCAATTCAGGAAATAGAAGCAAACCACAGCACAGATGCAGGTAAAAGGCTGAAAACTTTACTGCAAAACTCAAGCAAATGTAAAGGAATAAAGACTTGAGTTATAGTTAAAAACGACACCATTGGCTGAAATAGAAAAACAAAACTTTCTTAATGTTAATCATAGAAAAAGTTTACAAAAAAAGAGAACACGCACGAAAGCAAAAGACTAGCTAAAGAGTAACAAGACACTAAAATTTGGGACGTATGATAATAACTCAAAGGCTACAATCAACGATAAGAAACCAAAAGATTGATCAGGATGAGAGGTTAGGAGTGTAGACTGCGGTTGTTCTGTCTCCCTCTGCCGACGGTGGCACTCATTACTTCTACAGCTTTAAATAATGTAATGATTCACGTACTGCAATTTAATTTGGAATGTTTTACGTAAAATCACAGACATGGCTTTTTCTTTTTTTTTTTAGTTTGACACATTTTAATGAATGATTAATCGTGATGAAATCGTTTTTTCACATTTGGGTCTTTTTACTGACGTTGGTGGTGTGGTCGACGCAATCATTTTATAATTCCTGAATGTATAAATGTTAGTTATTATTAACAACTCTTTTACTGGCGTTTTAAAATTCGACGTTTGCCTTTGTCCGTAAAAGCAGCAAAGACTATAGGAAGTGGCGGCACCGGCTGCACATGCGCACAGGTCTCCGGAGCGATCCCGGCTCCTTCTCTGCTCCCCCGCACAGCTTGTCCTCCGTGCTCGCCGTGCGCGGTGCCGCGGCCCGAGATAGAAACATCCACGGACCTGGTGAGGTAGTTGACCGGAAGTGGCTCTGATAGCGGGTCACCGCGGCTGACAAGAGACAATTCGGTATCTTGTCAGCGAGTTGTACAAGATGTCTTGAGCTCTGAGAAGTAGAATGAAATAGTCCAGCGGGAAATGACATTTAAACTGTCTGTCTTGAGCGTGGGGTTCGACTGTCCTTCATTGGTGATAGGATCGAAATGTACCGCGGGTTTAGGTGTGTAATGACATGGATGTGTGTTACTGAAGTACAACGGGAGTAGAGTGTAGTGAACGATTTGGTGAACGCATCCAAACAGTTGTTAAGCCGTTTTATAATGTCAGGTTCTGTCAGCTTTTAGAACACGGGGCATGTAACACAAATCACGTTTTCTCTTCATTTCAATCAGCCGAAAATGACATCGGCAGAAGATGATTAAAAAACCAAGTCTAGATTTTATTGTATCAACTACTAGTTGTTGTTGCAGGAAAAAAAGATGTAGAATATATAGAAAAGAGGACGCGTTCTGGCTTCCAGTCTCTCTGCATTGCAGCTGTAAACAGCTGTGCAGTTTGTGCGCATGTGCGCGCGTTCTTTTATTTTTTTCCTTATCTTTACACTGATTTGTAGTATTGAAAATATTTTATTTTCTCTCTATTCTATCAAATGTTTTTATACATATATATTATTTTTTAAATTGTTATATATTGGAATATATTTAAATGCTGCAGGTTTTATGTAGTTTCTCTGTATTTTATTACCAGTTTTTCAGTTTTTAATATGTTCATTTTAAATTATTTAATTTTTAATAATTCTTTTGTAATTCATAAATGTTATCTAAGGTGTAATATTATGTCAAGAGTAAACTACCAACACCGTATTAACGCAAAATGTCTTTTATGTCAAACAATGTTTGTGAAAGTGTTTGTGGGAGGGGTTTTTAATAAGATGATGGGGTTTTAATTTTGACTCGTCAGAAGGCTGAAGTTTTGTTCACTTGTCACACCTGTAGATGGAGCAAGTGTCCCGGAAACGTGAGGATTGGTTGGGGACAATGGAGGGTGCAAACGAGGAGTGCAGCAGCTGCAGCGGTGGCAGTAGTGAGTCCAGCGGGGGTAGCACTGTGTCCAGCCCAGAGGAAAGTGAAGAAGAAGAGACAGCCAATCAGCCAGGCACTGCCTTCTCTTCCTCCCTGACTCTCATCAGGACCAATGGTCAGATGTACAAATATCCAGACGGCAAGGCTGGCATGGGTCAGTCCCAGAAACAGCACAGCATGACCGTTTATGGTGCTGATTAGCTTCAAGAGTTTGAGTGTATTGGGTTCAAAATATGAGGAAATTCTGACATATTAACAAACACAACATATTTGAGTATGTCCTCTATCAACCAGTAAGTGGCAGTAATGAGACGAGATTCAGATCAGCTCGTAAAAGACCACAGATGAGGAGAGTCTGAGTTACCTTTCTTATACTGTATGCCTCTCAAACGTGACTAACATTATAGGTGTTACTGTGATGCTAACAAGCTATATGCTAAGTGTTTTTAATGGCTTTCACCTCTTACAATCGGTGGATGTGTTTCCTTTTTTTTCCAGTTTACGGGACAAGACAATTACAGAACACTGCGTTATTATATGTGTTCACTTAGCACCTCCCACAGGCAGCCCAGGGAAGGGCAGCCCAGTGTTCATTGTTCAATGCTGACATTAAACATGAAATAACAGTGATGCTGGAGACACCTGCAGACTGCACCTTTAAAGGCTAAATGTGAGGCAGAATACTGTGTTTTAATCAACACGTCTCCTAAAAGGCTGTGTTTGTGTGTGTGTGTCTTCCACAGCCACCTGTGAGATGTGTGGTATAGTAGGAGTAAGGGACGCTTTCTACAGTAAAACCAAACGTTTCTGCAGCGTCTCCTGTTCCAGAAGTTTTTCCTCCAACTCCAAGAAGGCCAGTATCCTGGCTCGGCTGCAGGTACGCACACAAAACCAAGTACCACACACAACTGACCACTAGAGGCACCAGTGGACTAGCAGTCCCCTAGGGTGTCTTTTGAGCTCAAATCACTGACTTCCTCTGTGCACTGGTGTACCACAGGGTAAACCTCCCAGTAAAAAGACAAAGGTACTGACAACCAAGGGGGCTTCTTCAGCTCAGCACCAAAACCACCAGCAGGGCGCCGCCAAAAAGAGCAGTGAGTATCTCTGCCGGACAAACTTCAGTGACTATGTCAGATAGATGTTCGGTACCAGGAACTGTTACTGTAACTGCATCCTTCAAGAGTCCATCACGCCAAACGTTAATGTAAAAATTGTATAAATCAGTTGTAGCTGCATCCTTCAAGATTCCATCACGCCAAAGGTTAATGTAAAAATTGTATAAATCAGTTTTTTCCGATCCCCAACAGTCCCTGGTTTATAGACAGCAATTCAAAGACAGTTCCTGGTACTGTTCCTTTGTCCATGGTTTTGTTCCTAAACCCCTAGTACTCTTCCTTAGTTCCTGGTTTCTGGTACTGTTCTTAGTTCCTGATACTGTTAGTGGTTCCTGTCAGTCTGTACTGGTCAGTTCATATTATTTTTAACACATTGTGGCTTTAACCTGATAAAGTTCTCACTGGAGGTTGTTCTTCTTTCATAATCCCACTTTAATCTCAGAATGATGATGATGATCATGATCAGATGATGACATATGTTCCTGCAGACGTCTTTGACTGGGGTCATTATCTTGGAAAAGGAGATTTTATTGGAGCACCGGTGAGCTGCTTCAAACATGTGAGTGACACACACATGGAACGTAAAGGAAACTTTTCAAATTTAGATTCAGGTTTTATGATTGGATTTGCAGGTTGTTATAACGAAATAATCTGGAACTGTTATCCATGACTATGAGATTAGATGTTTTACTAGAGATTACACATTTTAATGTAGTAAATAAGAAAATATAAATGGGCAAATGTCACACAATTATGAGATTTATCTACCAGGTCACAGGTGGAGTCACAGGTTCTCTGCCCACGTCCCTGCTCGTCTCTGACTTGTTCTTGTTCAGGTGTCGATGCGGAAACTGTGGAAGGACATTAGTGAAGGAGTCAGAGTGGAAGTCCTCAACACTGACAGCGGACTGAACATGAAGGTCTACTGGATCGCTGCTGTCGTCAAACTGGCAGGTACACACACACACACACACACACATTAACATTGTGAGTGTTACTCCCCCCTGCTGCTAAAACCACCCTCAGACACCTAGTAAAAAATATGGCTGCCTAAAAAAAAAACATTTTAGCTCACAGACCAAAGCCCATAGAGATAATCAGTGATTTTTGGTTTTCAAAAGTTTTTCAAAAAAATGATAATAAAACATATTAGAATTAGTGACAGAGTAGTAATTATTTTCCTACTGATTCAGCTGTGTTTGTTTTTGTTGAAAACGCAGGTTTTAAGGCTCTGCTCAGGTACGAAGGTTTCGACAGTGACTCCAGCAGAGATTTCTGGTTGAACCTCTGCGTGTCAGACATCCACCCTGTGGGTTGGTGTGCTGCCGGGGGACAACCTCTGGTTCCCCCTCAAGGTATGACCACAAGGCCCTCTTCATAACTGATGATGTCACTGGAACGCGTGCTGATTGGATGACGGTGTTCTCTCTCTGTCGTCGTCTTAGCTATTCTCCACAGATTCAGCAACTGGAAAAGTTTCCTCGTTAAACGTCTGACGGGATCCAAAACACTTCCGGCTGACTTCAGCTCCAAGGTCAGAGTTCAAGTCCACAGAGCTATTTCCAGAAGAGATGGTCCAGTTAAAACTGATGGCTGTTGTTTTTTTGTTATTTACTCCAGAGTCCTGCTGCTCACTGGGTCACATCCCATTTTCTTCACTCTGACTTTGAATTGAACTGAGGAAAGACATTGTTGCTGTTTGTTCTCCATTGTTCCCATT